ACTGGGAGTACTTGCAGTCATGGAGCATCATCTTACATTTGACACGTGCCAGCGAAACTCATGTCAAACAAACAGGTTTCTGCTCGACGCATTCAGAAGACCCTGAATTTTGTCAGCGTCTTCATCTGGCAGGACAATATTGTCTGCATACTCCAAGCCAACCGGATGACGTCTTGGAATTAGGTCGATCCTTGTGAAGTCAAGCGCACCTAAGGTTGTGTCCACTAGTACGTTTTTGATAAAGATAAATGGGGACAGTGACAATGGGCATCTTTGGCAGATACCACTAGTTGTCGTCAATTCACATGACAACTCTCCCTAAGCGCTTACACGGCTGCGTAAGTTCGAGTAGAGAGCTTTGATTAAAGTCATATGTCTACTTGGTACTCCCTTCACAGTGAGATACAGCCACGACGCCTCATAGTCGACAGTCAAATGCTGCCATCAGGCCACGTAGATATGCTTGTGTTCCATAAGCTGTCGTAGGGTAAGATTGTAATAATGCACCCTCGTGCAGATCTGAAACTTGCAGTCAGATGACTGTGGATACTAGAATCTTGGACACAATATCAGCCAAGTTAATTCCTCTATGGTTTTCACAGGAAGACATATCCCTCACTGTATAGACTGGGGTGATCAATGAAGTAAACCAGTCTGATGGGACTATCTCTGATCCCATACACTACCTAGTACCGCCGTCGCTCTAAGGGGTAATTTCTTTCTTCCATCCCTAAAAACTTCTGGTAGACAAATGTCAGTTCCTGCTGCTTTGCATCGTTTCAGGTTCGTCTTGGCCTTTTCAACTCAATGAGTTCTGGAGGACTGACATCCTACATCTCATTCAGATTCAGGTTGGATGTTGGACAACTGAGGCGTTGCTGAGGCCTAGTTAAATGTGCCTCAAAGTGTTCTGCCCAGCGTTCTAGCCGCATGCCTTGGGAGTTTGTCAGCATTCTATTCGTTTTGTTGATGGTTTCACTCACCATCGTCTTTTTACCGGTATCTTTAATAAGCCTAAATAGTTGCTGAGTGTTACCAAACGCTGGTGATTTTTCCATCTCCCTCATTTTCATCACCCACAACTACTCGCAGTCGCCGCGAAGACTCAGTCAACTTACATCTAAGTTGCTCTCGGTCTTCATCATGATCAGAACCAGCTGGAATTAGTTTTCGGACGACGTCGCGGAAATTGAATGACTTTTGCAAACCTTCGGGTGAAGGTTACCACTACTGTTACTACAGCTGCCACTTCTGTCAATTTGTTAGTTTTTACCTGTAGATCTTCGAGTTTGTGCGACAAGGCATTAGACATAAATCATCGGCGAAATCCAAATCTTCTAGGTCCTTTTATCGGTCCAGCCAGCGTATGCCCCTCTTCTCACAGCTCCTCACAGTTTATTGCATGATCCAGTCCAGTGAACTACAACCAGAATGATCGGTGATGGTAGGCGGCAGCCGTGTCTTTCTCATGTCCCCACTTCCGAGGTGGCACTGAGCTTTTCATTATAAATCACTTGGTATGTGGCATCTTCATATAGTTGTTGAATAAGGTTGGTAAAGGTTTGTGGTACTCCGTAGTGTTGAAGCAGCTACCTGACGCTGTCGAAGGCCTATACAAAATCGATGAAGTTGAAGTAGAGAGTTGACTGCCGTTCTCCGCTCCGTTCTATGATGATGCGTAGCGTTGGAATTTGGTTTGCACATGATTTGTTCTTCTTGAAGCTAGCCAGCCAGCCAGTCTGTTGCGGTCGCAATTTTGAATCCACTGCATCCTTTAGTCTCTCCAGGATGATGCGGCTTAATACTTTGCTTGGGGTGGACAGCAACATGATTCGGCGCCAGTTCTTGCAGACTTAGGTCTCCCTTCTTTGGAAGTTTGACTAGGTATCCCTTTTCCCAATCTGCTGGTACCTTTCCTCCTTCCAAACCTGCATTAGTGGTATGAGCATGTCCGCTATTGTCTTTGTGTTTGTTTTCAGTGCTTCTGGAGGAATTCCATCTAGTCCTGCTGCTTTCCCAAATTTCAGCGACTTAATGGCGTTCAGGATTTCACTTCTACTTTTGTCGGAGGGCTTGTGTTCAATGATAATTCTGTGGCTGCTGGTGGTAATTCTGGACAAGTTGCAGGTGGTTATCGGTTCAAGAGTTTTCCGAAGTGGTCACTTCGTTTCCTTTGTCTATCCTCCTTGGTAACTAACTTTCCTTCACTGTCTCTCATTGGTTTCATTGGTTTCTTCCCTGATAGTAACCTGGTTATTTGATATAATGTCAGGTCTCTCCTACCAGCAGCGTGTTCAGCTTCACTTGCAAGTGTGTCATGGAAGTGTCTTTCGTCTTTGCGCGCACTCTTCACTTTTTTGTCCAGTGTAGTGTTTTATACGTTGTACTCAGTTCCTCTTTTCGTTGTTCATCTCTGCACTGCACTGCGCTGTAGTGGTTCACCTTCTGCTTCACCATCTTCCTCTCCCTCCGCTATCAGCTTCCATGTGTCCGTCGAGATCTATTTCTTGTCTTCTCCCTTTTGCCTTCCTAACATGGTTATACAGGTTTCTTCCCACATGTTATTCACGGAGTTCCGCTGTTCTTCCACACAGGTTTCTTCAGGGATGTTGCTTAATGTCTTCCATTTTATCCTGATGGCTGATGTGAGATGTCCTTTGTAGTTTCGTCCTTTAGTTCAGTTTCTGTTCTGAGTGTTGAACTTAAACTGTGGTCTATCACCAGCTTCTTTGAAGTCTTTCAACTTGATTTTGAAGGTTCCTTGCACTAGATAGTGGATGATGTGATCCATCTACATCTGCGTCTCCACTTCACATTGATATGAAGTCGATATGATTTTTAGTGTCTGGTGAAATCCATGTCGCCTTGTAAATATCCTTGTGTTTGTACACGCTGCCTCCAATCACCAAATCGTTGAATGCACAGAAATCTGCAAACAGTTCTCCGTTCTCAATCATTTCACACACTGCTTCTCGACCCATGATTAGTTCTCTCCCTGTTTTATCCGTCCCCAGTTTGGCATTCATGTCGCCCATTAGGATTTTGATGTAACCAACTGGAGTGGGGTTTTGTGCAGTTCTGCTTGCATTTGTCTGTAGAATTCCTCCTCCTTCTCTTAATCTGCATTATTTGTAGGTGGATATCGTAGCATTGGAAGATTGTGACTTTCCTTCCTTTTGAGTTGAATCTTACTGTTATGATCCCGGTTCGGGACCGGCTAGTGACTAGTGAACTAGTTAACCAGGCGAGGTTGTTCATTGGCATGGAGTCCCTTAAATACCCCCAAACTGCCCTTCTGACTGGTTCAGCTTCCTTACTTGGGCTTTAAAGTCACGTGCCGTTTTAACTACATCGTTTTGCTTTCTCTAGCAATATTGACAACTTTTCGTATAGTTCATTTTGTGCATCATCCAGACTACAGTCTGTGGGTGAGTAGGCGGCTTCGAATGGGCATCGGTTGGTCTCACGATCCTTCTTAGTCCTTGCAGATCGATTCAGTCGAACAGCATATAGTAGGCTGTTGACTGGTATCTAGTCAACAAGCGCGTTTTCCTCTCTACAGCTGAACGCTCTGTCTATACCAGGGATTCCACGAGAGCTAGCCATTGGGTCTCCGGATACTCATAACGTGGATCTTAAATAGTAACTGCGCTGGACAGGTGAGGTCAGGCGAGTAACCACACTTGAGTCCTGTATGTGTGTCTCAGAGACAGCATACCTCCATGGTTAGAGATTTTAGAGTTTTACCGAGTGATGCTTGTTATCCGATTTGGCATAGAGTTCTGACGTTGAAAGCTCCTACATGAAATCGATGGGGGGGGGGGGTCTTAGGAGACTGCGAATAAAGTCTCAATGGTTCTGATCGTTGAAAATGGTTGCAAAGCGAGGGGCTGGATAAGGTTGAAGAGCCTTAAAGCTAATATCTAGGATTGAAGGTAAAGGAGGAGACAGTTGAAGAGGAGGTTGGTACTTCCCAGCTACCGACGCCGTGGAAGGCTATTTCTTAAGATACCTAGAAGAGAAGATTTGTGTGACCGCAGAGCCCATGAGACACATATTTGACGCCTGTCACACGCGGCCTTTTGCGGGATGTTTTGAGGTCTGACTGTTCTAACACTGGCTAGAGAGGACCCATATCGCCGGGGACGGATATTTCATCCGTGTTATGTACTGCTAACCTTGTTTATTTCTAATTCATAGCAGCATCTGAATGGCGGACCTTACGTGCATGACAAGATGGTGTACATCCTTCATCATCCGAGGTTGCCTTACTGAAACCACCTCTTATGCTTTCCGTCAATGCTTTGCATATACTAAAGTACTGAGTCAGTAAAGATAACATAATCGAACTGTAAGCCTGATGTGCAAGTTTTGTTTCCCAAATAGCTCCACCATGTCTCAAGCGTAATCGGTCACTTAGTTGATGGTCAGACTAATCTTTTTTCTCCAGGGTGACTCCCTCGGTGAGGTCCAAGAGATCATGCAACGCAGCGACTTGAAACGAAATGAGATGTGGCCCAGAACCAAAACCTCCATCCTCTTTTTTAAGTCATATGTGTTAATATGTATAGTTAGATCATGTGTTGTAGACTTGAAGCTGATTTATCAGAACGTTGGAAGCAAAAGTATTAATCGTGGAATTTTCACATTACATGTGGTCTCATTTCATTCCTCTTGCACTCGAAGTGAATGCCGTGACTGACTATTTTTTTTTTCTTCGGTTACCATGACTATAACTTTATGAGTTTGAACAGAAAGGTTTGATTAACTGTTAGCTTTCGAATGTTTTTCTGTCTGTTTAATAAATCACGGAGTCATTTTGTCTCTTAACTGTTTCTGAAGTCGAAGTCCGTTGCCTCTCTAATAATTGTGTCAGGCTTTCTAACTTTAGTTTTTAATTTAGACTGTCATTGTTTTGTTTGTTATTCGTTTTATTTACCTATAGGTTTTACTTCCTCTACATTTTTGCTCAATAAAGTATTATCAACTAATTTGATCCAATGTTATCACGAATATCCAGCGCTTTGGGGTGTGGAGACAAAGATTTATCTGATGATTATTTACCTGAAGATAGTTGGCTATCAGCAAGTGCTGAGGCTACTCCTTTCTTTGTAGTCCCTACACCATCCTTACAGGATGTCCTGCAAAAAATTGGAATTAGTCGATGCAAAAGTACGGGACAGCTTTATCTTGCTAAAATGCCGTTTCTACCTGATGATAATCAAAAATTGAGTTCAAATACACCTTGGGCCACTGCACATTCTGCCAAAAGCGATGTCGTCACTTAGAAACTTTTCTCAAGACTAAACAAACCCGTATGTGAGAAATTGTGCTTGGAGCTGCGTCAATTAGCATCGGTTTCAGATGAAAATATAACACATACTTTATCTACATTTTCCAGTTTGCTATGTCCTTTACTCACAGATGCACCTGATTCCGAGTTTGACCTCCCTAATGATGACATTTTGATACTGTTTGGTCCCCCAGCAACGGCTTTTCAGATACTTTTGTTCACTCCTTGTTTATGCTGTGTTTTGACAGATTTAATATTGGAACTAGTTGCCAACCATTCTGCTTATTCGGAGCAACTTCTTAAACAATTTCGACAACCTATTGGACTGGGTGCATTATTTAGTACCAAACAAACCTTTTCTGATATATCTACACGTCTGATAGAGTTATTTCAAATTGCTGAAGAACCGAGGGTCCAAGCAAAAATTTTGGAAATTCTTCCTGATCTAGCATCTTCACCTTGTTCTTCAGGGTGTATACTGAGTGATGAAGATAGGTCTTTACTTGTTTTGCAGCTCATCGACTTATTTGACACAATATCTCTTGAGAATCAACGCAGTTCACCAAAAGAATGTAATGCAATTGTTTGTCTCATTGAATGTTTAACAAGCTTTTCGGTTCAAGGCGAGCTAACGGACCGACTATATACTGCTTGCTTTGATCTTCTTGATCGTTGTGGTGGCCGTGATTTTTACTTTGATTATCTCCCTGTAATAACTCGTTGTCTTCTTATCAATGGACCAGCTGTACCACAGACGTCAACTGAATTATCGAAGCTTGTTACACGGTTGCGTACCTTTTTTACTTTTGCTAAATCAGGTTCGTTTGGTTCCACAGATTCAATTAATTCTACACTTGTTGACCTCTTGCGAGTTGCGTTTCAGTTTAACCGAAATATCACATCTGAGTGAGTGTAGTTTTGTGTTTTTTTCCTGGTAAAGTATCTTAAGGCAACAGAAAATTAGGGATTTCGTACCTTTGTATGTCACATAACAAAAAAATGTTGGGATAGAATTTACGTTGTCTCGTTACTTGGTAGTTGTTTTCAAGTGAGGGTTACAGATTATTTCTTTGCCGCAAAGTGCCTACAGTTCTGACTTTTATCAATATATTTTGATAAAGTGTAGGATAGTATTTTGCTGATGAACTTCGGTTTTACTGAACCAAATATTTCTCCTGTTACTCATAGAAGGGTAATGTGGATCAGTTCTTTTGTCAAACCACCAGTACAGGATGCTGGGCTGTTTCTACTGAAAGCTAAATTAATTTGAAAAAACATTCTTTATATGAAATCATCCTTTATGTGAATGCAGTTACGTGGTAGCACTCTCAAATATGGGTTGTTCGAACTTACTAGTAATACCTTAAGCGTTTTTAGATCTTCTAAAAATGGATCTTAAATCATGACATGCAAAGCAGATTCATAAAGTCAAAAGAAACATTATTGTTCTCCTAATAGGTTGCGAAGTCGATTCGGTGGAGTTATGGCTCAGTAGATGAGGGCGGTGACAGTCAACCAAGTGGGCCACCTGTTTGAATCACGCTGTATCTACCGAGGGTTAGACATATAGTATCACTATCCCTCACAAAATCGATATGGCTTATTAACTACTGGGCCAATGTCCACAAGGAGTGCGTTAAGGACAAGTTGCCACTGTGGGCCACCTCGATGTGTGTCTACAAATTTACTTGCTCCCGTGGAGCTAGTTATATAGGCCGCATGAAGCGCACGCTTTCCAAACGTATCTCGGAGCACTATCCTGCATGGTTGTCGAGGGAAGAATGTAATCAATTAACAGTTCAATTCTTGAACATTTGGTCAACTCTGAACGTAAAGGTTTAGTGCGTTTCGTTTCGTTCGTTCGTTCGGATTCACATTGGTTCTAGTGGCAGTAGTGACACTCAGATTATGAAAGTGGCGTACGAGATAGAAGATTCCTCCAACAGTCAGAATATGGCCATATATATTGAGTCATATGATGGTACTATTTTGAGCTCACTGAGGACGCTAAAGGACAAAAGGTAACTAATGAAATATCGGTTTTCAAAGGTTATAACATCTAAGTCGTTCAGGGAGAAACATGTGAGGGTAAACATGATAATCTTTCAAAGTACAGTTGTGTTGTTATCCTCCTCACAATTCAGTAGGTTTTTTAAACTAATCAAATTTACCGAACTTTGCGGTAGCATAATTTTTAAATCACTGCCTATTAGTTATAAGATACTGAAGTTGTTTAAGTATTTCAACAAGTGTTTGTGTGTACATATCAGTTTTTATCATTTGTATGAGCGCTTTGACTTCGGTTTTCACACTTAATCCGATAGAGTTGAAGTACTTTCACTCTACTGTCATGGCCTTTTATATTTTCTACCATTCCTATATACGAATGCTTTGCAGCGATAATTTATTTTCTATTTTAGATGGGTACGTGTAATTGGTCTGACGTGTCACACGTCAAATTCTCCCTGTGACAATACCGGTGATTCTAGATTGCAGAATCAGGCCGTGCAAGATTTTATTGTTCTATGCGTAGTTCTTAGTACCCCAACAATGACAGCTCTTAAGAGTGGTGGCAGCTTAAGTTTACCTTCAGGTGAATCTTTAATCAATGCTTATTGTTCTTCTGATTCATCACACTACAAACGGTTGAAGAAAGAAGTCGTTTCTCTTGTCCGTCGTCTTTTAACAACTGAGAGACTCTTTTCGTTCAATAATATCAATGGTGATATTGAAAGATTTTTAATAGACTATGGAGAATTGCTATTTTCTAGACACACTCGTCTCTTCCCATCATTTTCATTTATTATAAACCAACTTATCACATCAGGAGGTCTGATTGCTAGTCGTTTCAAATTCCTAACTAGATACATTGGTCTATCTTTATACATGAAAGCGTTTACCAGCTGCATGAGTGACTATCATCAAAGACTGGAAATTATAAGTCACCTCGTACATCATTCACTGACAAGCATCAGCAACTTACTCATGAGAGGTATCAGTCGTTTTAAGACGGAAGCTATCGTCAATGCCAACCTGGTAACTATATTACGCTTAGCTCAGTCAAGTGCCAAAAGGTTAGGTGTATTTGAAACAAGTTTACACGCTCTTCAAAACCAAGTTGAT